TGTCTATATATATATATATAGTGTCCATAGTATTTCGCTGGTTCACTAATTTAGTCACTTTGTTAAAGAATGCAGTAAGATCCGTCTGACGTGATCTGTTTTTGACAATCCCATGTTGGCTTCTAGTAACACCTTTGCTTGTTTTTAGGTGTTCATAGATCAATTGTACCCAACGTATGGATCCACAACCACATAGAGAGAGACATACTCCTTTTTATAACATGACTCAGATGAGAGATAAGAGATACTCAGCAAATTTGCAGATGACAAAAAACCTCAAGGTTCAAAGTATCTTGACAGACTTGAACACTGAACTCAGTCTAAATGTAAGGAAATTCAAGTAGGAAAATCAGATGGACATGGTCAAGATAAGGCAGCAGCTGGCTGAGCAGTGAGAAGGATCTGGGGACTAATGTTCTCTCTAAGCTGCATGGCCACGCACGTGACAAAAAAACGCCATGCAGCAGTTTCCAACTGCTGCACAATGTTTTTTAGCGTGATATACTGGACTTTAGTCTGCAGGTGGCTCGGAGGCTTCTGCCAGGAGGGATTAAGGAATTTAGACTACAGAAGAGAAGAGGAGACAGGTTAGCAGTGTGTCCTCCTTGAAGGTCTACCACAGGGAGGATGGAGTGAATTTATTCTTCAGCTCCAAAAACAGGCCAAACACTTACTGATGTAAACTTTATAGAGGAAGATCCAGACTTAAAACAGAGAAATTTCCTGATAGCAAGAACTATTAAACAATGGAACAGTCTGTTTCCTGAAGTCAAGGAGGCCCCGTCATTGAATGCTTTCACACAAAGGTTGGACCACCATTTGCAAGAGATGCCTTGGGGATTCCTACTCTGGCAGGGACAGGACAAAGATCTCAAAGATCCTTTCCCATTCCATGATTCCATCAGTTGCTCAGTTATGCTCCTAATTCTGTTTGTAATAGGTTCACATCTCCCTCTCCAACTGTGGGAACCTTCATCTGGAAAGGGAAACACATTGTGCAAAAGAGTGTTTTCCTGGGAGATGGGACTGAATGGATCGACCGTTGACTTACCTGAACGGTCCTTCTATGTGCGCTGCGAGGGGAATCCAAGCATGGGTTAACTTTGTCCATTAGCCTAGAGACTGAGTTATGTAAATTGGTGACCACACCTCCTCTGACTGGATAGGTCAGTTTTGTACGAAGTCAGCCATTGAAAGATGTATGGCAATGTCACTCATGGCCGTAGCCAAACAAGGTAAGAACAGTCACGTCCAGAGAAGTCAAGTCATTAAACCGAACAAGTCAGTCATGGAATTAGAGTTCCGAGGTAGCCCTGGACAGCCGAAACTGCGGGTGGGTTTGGATTCCCCTCGCAGCGCACATAGAAGGACCGTTCAGGTAAGTCAACGGTCGTTCTCCTGTGCGCTGCTTGGGGAATCCAGGCATGGGACATGCCAAAGCAATTAAGTTCCAGGGCAGGAGCTAGGCTGGACAGGGTCCTCCGGGGAAGAAAGAACCCTTTGCAACATTTGCCGCCCAAAGGAGGCGTCAGCCGAGGCATACACGTCAATCTTGTAATGTCTAATAAATGGCGATGGCGACGACCAGGTAGCCGCCCTGCAAATTTCTTCCACTGAGGCTTGCATAGCCCAGGCCACCGAGGTAGCCGCACCCCTGGTAGAATGAAGAGTAATGCATATAGGAACCAGTCGGGAATGGCTGTCATAAGCAAGAGCGTCAGTAGCCGGAGGCTGATGGATTGGATGGATTCTAATTCTGGAGTGGAAGTGTACAATTTCCTATCCCCATTGCTGGGTGGGGTAACTGCGGTTGGTTGTTCCCACTGCTTTTGAACAAGATCGAGAGACAGCTTAGGAGAGGGTATAACCTCCTGCTGGGAAACCTGTTCAGCAAATGGGCGTTCAGTTGCATCCAGGCCAACCGCAGTGCTAGCCTGAGAGGCTGCCTCCCCCACGTGGGTGGTAGTCGTCGCCTTATACAATAAAGATTTAAACAAAGTGGGGCAAAATAATCCAGAAGAATTAGGCTGATCCAGCACCAATCCTTCATCATCAGATCCCTATCTATCACTTCACCTTCCTCCACCAAGGCCGACTCCTCGCTATAAACTGAGGGTAGAGGCGAGGGAGGATCAGTCTGAGGGATTGATAAATCTACTTGCATGGCCTGGGGATCAGGGCCCATCTGGGCACCAGTGGCCCTAGGCACCTGGGCTCTATGATGCAGCTCTGCATCCACACACCCTAGAAATAGCTGCAGATATCATTTGGTAAAGATCAGGGGGAATGCCCAAATCCTGGCCTTCCAAAGGTCTGAGGCCTGCAGTGGTAGGAGGAGAGGTGGCAGAGGGCCCAGCAGGTGGAGCTGTGTGAGCCGAGGCCATACTCACTTCCGAGAGAATCGGGGGGGGGGATTGGGGCCCCAAAACCCCCTCCACAGATGTAGATGCACGGGGGAATTGAATGTCAGGGGACCAACCTTGGTGCTCTGCAGAACGCACGGGAGAAACCCGTTGCGGAATTAGCGCCGGAGGCGAAATGCTAGCCCCCCCCCCCCATGAGCCTTAGTCGCCTTAGACTTATCCCTACGTTTGTGGGATTTATCTGGAGCCGTGGATGAGGCCCAGGGTTTCTGGCTGGAGGCCCTGGTAGCGGCCCTGCCAGGCCTTGGGCTAGTCCCCCCCTCACCAGGGGAGCGGGAGTCACTTGTGGACTCTACAGTACCTCCGCAGATGGTCTGATCAGCCATTGCAATATAAGGCAATTTAAAAGGCTCAACCTCACACAAGTATAGCAAATCGCCACGAATTTGCACCACCGCACGTGAACGGACGAGCTGCAATGAATCGACCTCCTCACTAAGCCAGCAAGCTGCAAGTGAGGGAAAGAGGAGGAGCCATTGGCACAGCGCTACAGCCTGGGCGCGAACTGTCCAACACGCCCCCTTTGGCCGTTACTGAGCGCACGTGGGGAAAAAAACGGCCCCAAAATGGCTACCGCAACAGAGGCGCAAAATTCAAATTTAGAATCTAACCGGCGATGGCTCTCGGCAGCGTGATCACCCCAGCGAGCCTGCGGCAGCTCCAACAAATAAGGACAACACCAGCGGTAAAGGAAGACCGGGGAATAGACCATGCCGCTCAGGCAGGCCGTTCCTGATGCGAGATGGCGCAGGGTGGCGAAACGACCCAGGGCGTGCGTTATCGGCAATAAAGGGGAAGCGGCGAACCGATCCCACGCTCAGAATAAGCGACTGCTGCACTAGAATTCAAAAGCTCCAGTAAACCTCGCAGCTGCCGATCTCAGGCGAATAGCCCAACGCCGAAGGGTTTGGCTGACAGCGAACTGTCGCCTTTGCCTTCCGTTCTGCAATAATCAAATTTAAACGCCTCTAACGATCTCAGAATCCAGTAAAATAGAGTAAATTTTGTCGATTAGTCTAGAGAAAATGGAAATACGTCTCTTTCGGCTGGACTGAGTTAAAAAATGGACTCATCCAGTCAGAGGAGGTGTGGTCAACATTTACATAACTCAATGTCTAGGCTAATGGACAAAGTTAACCCATGCTTGGATTCCCCAAGCAGCGCACAGGAGAATGTTACAGAGTTGTTTTTTTAAAAATTTGTAACAGAGCAGAGGAGCAGTAATTTTGTCTCTGCATCTCATTTTGTCTCTTCTTCTACAGGCCTTGAACTGGGAGGGAGGACAGAATCTTGTGAGGGCCTTGCTTTAGAAACTTGGCACTATTAATCTCATCAGCAGATAAAACTCTTGATGCAACAATCATGCCCCAGGTAAGGGACAAAACAATAGATAAGATGGCCTATTTAGTAAGACAGGTGCCCTATTGCAAAGCACAGCCCAGGTAGCCTGCTGGCATCACAGAGGAATTGCCAGCTCCCCTCTTAAAACTCACACCTTTTCCATTCTGATGGGGATCCTGCATCTTCCCACACCAAAACCTTTCTCCAACTGTGTCCTAAAGGAGTCCAATAATACAATAGCAGAATTGGAAGGGACCTTGGAGGTCTTCTAGTCCAACCCCCTGCCTAGGCAGGAAACCCTAAACCGTTTCAGGCTAATGGCTATCCAACACCTTCTTAAAGACTTCTAGTATTGGGGCATTCACAACTTCTGGAGGCAAGCCGTTCAAGAGGCTGTTCTCCATTCTATTTTACTGCAAATGTATTTGACTTGGCACTTCATTTGGAATGACATCAAGAAAGTTTTTCAGATGAATGGGAAGCAACAGAAACACGGCAAATGCTGAAATTTCTTTCTTAGGGCTCACAGCATGTTTTAAAAATTTGGATTTAAGAAAGTGTTAGAATCGTTTTTTCTATACAAAGGTGAAATGTAAGATATGTAGAGAAAGAAGTCCACATTATCAGCCATAGTGGCGGAGTGGTTAGAATGCAGAGCTAACTCATTGCTCACTCCAGGAATTCAATTCTGAGAGGCTCAAAGCCTTCCATCCTTCCGAGGTGGGTAAAATGAGGACCCAGATTGTCGGGGGCAAGAGGCTGACTCTGTAAACTGCTTGGAGAGGGCTGCGAAGCACTGTAAAGCAGTATAGAAGTCTAAGTACTATTGCTATCATTTCAATCATGCTGAATCCCACCCATCTAGATCATTCACTTCTTACAAATCAGTGTATACATTGTCTGGAAATGCTTGTTCACTATTCAGAAAATGTGCTTCAGGGGGAAAGAGCAAAAAGACAGTCAACCAATATTCATCCTTGGGGGTACTCATGAGCATTAGTAGCAAGCTCCTTCCTCTTTTACTCTGCTCTGTATTGAGAGATAACAAAGGAATTCCACTTGCACTAAGACCCCAAGCTAATGTGGCTCTGGGGAGCCAATAGGCCTAGAGGACTCTTTTCAACCAATTCTTTATTCCTTACACAAAATATTTTTTTCTTTAGTTTCTATTCTAACTCAAATGGTGGCTGCTGCTTCTTGTTGCTACCAGCTTAGCACACCTTTGCGGGAACTCACCTTTCCCCAGCAGCAACAAAGTACTCTCTACGGACGGGGTGAACGTGGACTGTCCTCGTCTTTGAATGAAGATCAACCGAGATCTCGGGGGATGGGATTGGTGTTCTCCGATCCACTATGGCTACCTTTCCATCCCACATTCCTACCACCAAAGTAGAGGCATCGCTTGCCAAGAAGTCAAATGAAGAAAGGCTGTGGCTCTCATTTCGGTATATCTGTGTATGAGAAAGAGGTTTCCATTAAGACTAGGCCTGAGGCATTATTCAGCCTGAGCTGCTGACTCGATGCCTGCATTTCATAACAGCTGGAAATTAAACTTCCTCTATTTTCAAGACTCACTTATAGCAGTCAAAAGAAGACTAAGAAAAGCAGCCTTTCCTGAAGACAGTTGAGTTTCCCAAACACATAATAATATCCACTCTCTAACTCAGAAAAAAATAAGCACAGCTGGGAGTCGTCACTTAGAACACAACCACCCAAAGGAGCCTGTGATATTCTCTCTAGAGCCCCAGGCCTCGACTTGTGGTGCTCTCCTTCCGGTAGCGGCAAAGGCAGATGGGAGAGAGCATTGCTTCTTTTCCATTCCACCTGCCTCCAGAGACAGGGAAGAAGGGCAGGAATGGGAGACTCCATCCCAAACTCCACTGTACCTGATCGACTCAAGCTATGCTCCTCTTGCTAAGCACTGTCAAGACTTTGCAGCCTTTCCCTAAAAAATAGGTAAGTATAAGTTTACTGTAAGAGCAGACAGAGGACTTGGAGTCCACAAGGTCTCTGCCAAGCGTGGCATTATAGGATTCCTAGTATTATTTAATGGCTGAAATATTCACCTCCTCAAAAATTCTTCGAGTTACATCCCCAGATCGTAATGTGCCATCGTGACTGAGAGATAAAAGATGAGCAGGATTAACAGGAGAAAAGTGCAAACAGCTGACTGCCTGGCTGTGCGGTATGAAGACGTAGGCTCTATTTTCTAAGCTGGAGTCCTGAAAAACACAAACCAGAGCAACACCACAGTTACCGTCCTGCTTTTCACAATGAGCAATGGAACTCACAGAAAGGGGAAGAAGTGGAATACTTTCTCACTCAGGGACACAAATGCTGCGCTCCAGCTAGAGGGCCCCACCCGGGCCCAAAGCAGGTACTCTCAAAAAGTGAGGATGTTCCAACTTGCAGGAACTAAAACACAAAAGCCTCTTGTATTGATATTCCCAGGGTTCTGATTTAATGAAGGCAGAGAAAGATGGCAGAGACAGGCTTCGGCAGTTCTTCTATCTTCCTAGTGGTCTTTTTGAAGATACTGTAAGGGTGTTTGCTCTCTTTCAAGAATTTGTCACTTCCCAGTCTTCCTGGATTTTTCCAACATAATAGATAGTCCTCAACTTATGACCATAATTGAGCCCAAAATTTCTATTGCTAAGTGAGACATTTGTTAAGTGAGTTTTGCCCCTATTTTATGATCTTTCTTGACACAATTGCTAAGTGAATCACTACAATTATTAAGTTAGTAACACAGTTAAGTGAATCTGGCTTCCCATCAACTTTGCTTGTCAGAAGCAAAAAGAAATCAGAAAGTGCACAAGCCTTTCTTAAACTTCTCCATTTCTTTTCAAATCACAGAACCTACATTTCTTGGAACCTTTGCAGCTTTAAGATGTCTGGACTTCAACTCTCAGAATTCCCCAGCCAATATACCGCAGCATCATAAAGTTGCCACGGTTGAGAAACACTGTCTTGGAACAAAGTTCTAACCTCTTTGCTCGGCTATCCAAATCTTGTCAAGTGAGAGGGAAACGGAGCAGCTTGACTCATCTGAATAGCAGGAGGGCCACGTCTGACTTTCATTTTTTGCCTGACAATATTCACTTGCCCAGCCAAAAATGTTTCTTTTTTCTCTAAACAGTCAAATATTTCTACCTAACATAACTTATATGGAAGCCACCTTGAGAGCATAATAAAACATTGCTACAAAGGCAATGAAGTACTTACCAAATCCCAGAGGCCAATCTGCCCCCACTTGTCCCCAGCTGCCACCAGAGTTCTGCTTTCTGATGGATGGACAGCCACAGAATAAATCCGGCTTTTCACCACTTTTGCAACATGTTCTTCTCTGAGGACCATCCCACGGAGGCGAGTTTTGTAACTGGGCCAAAATAATGAATACGTTAATTTAAACACAAAGCAAACACATTTAAAAGAACCAAGTTAGAATTAATTTCAGAGTTACCTTTCTAAGTTAGACGAGTTCTTCTCACTCTTCTTTCCTTCCACCTAGTTAATGGTTGAAAAACAATGCAGAAATTATTTACATTAAGTGTTCAGTCTCTTTCAAACTTACTAGTGAATTCTAAAAATACCTGGTTTATTTTTGCCCACATGCTGAGAAATGTGTCAGTTTCTGGCTCCTGAACGGTAGCAACCATTGGATGAGGTCCAGGAGGCAATGGGGCCTTTCAAAAAAGGAAAAGATGTATAAAGCAGTGGACTGCGTTGTATATTATCAGTGCAGTTCACAGAAAAAGAAGCAAGCAGAAAAACAGATTCTTAATCAAATTATTTTGCTTTGTTTGCACAATCCAAGTCACTTGAGCAAGGCTAAATTTAAGTCACAAAGCAAATGCATGCGCATTAGTAGCGTTGTGGCAATGGATATCCAAGACCAACCATTAGGATTGGAAGTCCCTACAAAGGGTAACTTTCAATCAGAAAAGCTTTGCCAGCCAAGGGCAGAAGCCCCTAATGTGTCACCCAGAGGGCCAAGCACAAGCGCATCTTAATCTGCCCTCTCCCCTGTGGTCCTCTTACATGCTCCTCTTCCACAGGTGAATCCACCTTTGCTTCTGGCTCCGGGAGGGGAATGCCCAGTGGATCTATTCTCTGCAAACGCATGGATCTTCGACAAGCTGTCTTAGTTTCTGCCTTTGGAGACTTAACTCTACCAAGACAATACAAGTGCACCTCTAAAATCCTGTTCTTCAAGAATACATTCATGTCATGAAAACATTTGCTTATGCCTTGTTGGTATTTTCAATTACTTGAGTTCTTGCTGTTTTAATTCTCTTTGTATTTTCTATCATTTCCTCCCTTTGACATCACTCCGGCTGCCTTGTGCTACAATCTGAAGATGTATGAACTTGGCTAGATGAGGCTGGGGACCATGAGCCCTGCAGCTATTCCCCAACCGGCTAAGCAGATGCGTGCGTGGATTGTTTCCATTGGGCTACGATATGGAGCGGGCTACTAGTTTTCTCCAAGGATGTGGTCCTCCCAAAAAAGAATGCTCTCCTCAGGCCAATACCCAGAACCATAAAGAGGAAAACAGCCTTAATGCTGCTGCTCAGAATATTCATTCACAATTCTGAAAGAAGTGAGATCTGCAGTAAAAATATGCACTCAAAAGATTCTTGGACAGATCCATACTTTTGTGCTTCTCTCTAAATAACATTTTTTCCTGGCTAGTCTATAAGCATTTTTCAACTGTGATCTGCAGGGGGCAGGACAGTATTAAAAGAGCATGGAGTTGCAAGTGCCCAGGGAAGTCACCAGGTTCTGTCCCTTGGTAAGCAGAACTCGGGATCCCACAGATGGCTACCCACCTTGAATACATCCAATGAAAGGAACCCAACCCCTCTCTGAAGTAGGATTCCTCTTATTGTTTGGATACTTTCCTAACATTCAATTCATATCTGCCTCCTTATAATATCTGATATTCTGTATCTTTCACTCCAGAATCCTGGCAGAGAACAAGGCTTGGCCTTCCTCTTCAGTCATTCACCTGTTTGAAGAAAGCCGTTTACTTAGGTGAAGGAGAGTTTGTGGGCCTTTTAGAACAATTCATAACGTGCAGTACCGTGAGATGTAACAGTTACTAAAGCCAAACCAGGAGTTCCAATATTTGCTAAAATGTCTTTGTTTGTTTGTTTGTTACCAGAGAACATTTTGCTGCCTCTTTAGGCAAGTAACACCCCAATTCTTTTCCTGGGTTTCCTAACATCACCAATACGTTTCCAGTCTACTGATAGTTTTCTCTTTGTGACTGCCCTCCCTGTCCTTTTTGAGCTTAATTAAGCCACTTTTGGCCTTTTTTCTGTCCTCCCAACTCCCCCCCCCTTAAGAAACATCATGAGTGCTGCTTCCCAGTCATTTGTCCTACTGTGGAATGCTTTCATTTTTTGAAATCCAGGATACATATTTGAGTACATTCAGTTTAGTACATTCATGTGATTTACATCATTCTCTTGTAAGGTAAGCATCATTATGCTTACTTTACAATGGCAGTGGGGGAGGGGGGGCAGAGAAACATGGCTCTATCTCATTTCCACCCATGATGTATTTGTTCACTCCATCTTACCCAGTTCTTCCTTACTTCCACTGTCCTTACCTCTTCCTTTTTGAGGATCTCAGTAACTTCATGTAATGAACCTTGCTTTCCCTTCTTCTCAAACCTATTTTCTCTTCCTTCATATTTTACAATTCTCCTTAGGCAACTACGCCATTTCAACCTAATCTGCAGTGATTATTCACTTTTGTATTCAGACTGGTCCTTACCCCAATCATAAACTGTTTATATATTTAACTTGTGCGATTTAAGGATTGTATAAAGTGTAACCTTTAAAATTTAAGTTTTACTTAATGTTGGGTTCTACAGATACCACCGGAAGGGCCAGTCACAGGCCAAGAACATTTCCCATGACAGATGAGTCTGGATTAATTTTCAGGTGGGATTGCCAGATATCTGAACTCTGCCATCAGTTAATGCAGTGTTTTTCAACCTTTTTTGTGCAAAGGCACACTTTTTTCATGAAAAAAAATCACAAGGCACACCACCATTAGAAAATGTTNGGTTGAAAGGGCTCAAGCTCAAGTTCACTGAAATACCAAATGCCGATCGCAATTGAAGCAGGAGGCTGTGAGAGATCAAACCCGTGCTCCAGTAGAATGGTGGTAAATCGACCTCTATGAAGCAATGAATCTGGTGATGCTACATCCTACGGAAAAATGAAGCGACGCCCAGCCGGACTGGTTGTCTGGCGTGAAAAAGGCTCCAAAATGGCACCGCGAGCAACAGCGAAGGCAGGAAATTCAAATTGGCGAGGCACAAAGGCCGTCGCCAGAATGGAGAACGCCTGCCTCGATTCTTGCCAGCGACCGCAGCCGCGGCCTCTAGAGACTCCGATGGGATGTCCGGGCTCCACACTTCGTCGAGCAACCTCGAGGGGAAAGAGGGGGGCAAACAGTGGTGAGAGCAGGCGGAGCAGGGCGGCGAACCGATCCCCAACAGCAGCAAGACAACACGAAGGCGGCAAACTGACCTTCCCACAGTAAACAACGGCGCACCCCCACCTCCAACAAGGAGGTTCCCTGGCCCCGAACACCACTGTAACCGAGGAGAAATGAACCCCTTGCAGAGATATTTACCCTGAAGGGAACTCAATCCAGTGAAGTGGAATCCAAGCTGAAATAATAATAATGAATTGGTCTAGTAACCTAGAGAGAATTATTTTGCGTCTCTTTAGGCTGGACTGAGTTAAAAAACTGAACCAGTCCAGTCAGAGGAGGCGTGGCCAGCAATTTGCATAACTCAGTCTCAAGGCTAATGGACAAGTTAACCTATGCTTGGATTCCCCAAGCAGCACACAGGAGAAGTGGGGGAGGTGGTGTTACCTATTTCCCCTCTTCTTTATCAGTGCATCAACTGCAGAGAAAAATGTTCTCCTCACATGACATTCAGCCTGGCCCTCACCTGGATCTTCTCTCCCTCCTGCAGTGAATAATTCTTCTGCGAACTGACCACCTCCACATTGACTTCCCCTTTCAGCAGATGGAGACTGGTGTTGCCGAGGTCCTCACTCACAAAGTTCTCCAGGTGAAGCCCTGCCATGGGATGGGATGGACGCCCAAAAGGTCAACAGCAAAGGCCACGGAAGCACCGGGGTCCCCAGTTCTTCCCACATCTCAGCAGCTCCCCCAGCGAACAAGAGTTAGCCCTGTTTAGCCCCGGCCTGTTACTTCCTTTGGAAAGTCTGCCAAACCATATTTGAGACTCCTTCATTGGGAAGGGACAAGGAAGAGGGTTGCTGGAGGCAAACAGGAATAAGGAAGCATGGAGTCTCTTTTTTAAAAAACTTTGCTGAAGAAACATAGGATAGAAAATTGTGGATTTATTTTGCTGTCTTTAAGTAAGCTGTTTTGTTGTGGGTGGCTGAATTTTTTCTTATTTTTATGAATTCTGATTGGCCAGAAACGATTTATTGAAAAATCTACTCTTCAACCACAAGGGGGAGCTATGGAGGTGGAGAAACATGGATTGGACCACATTGTCGGAGGTGTTTGAAAAATAATTAAATAAAACCCAAAGGTACTTTTTTTTCAAGAGGCAACTGGATTTTCTGGGTTTTCTTTGAAGACATTTCGCTTCTCATCCCAGAAGTCCCATTGAAGCAGCAGCCACAGTTTCTACAGGGCACAAGCCTTTCTCTGAGGTCCCAAGTTCGGTTTCCACCCCAAGGATTCAGCTGAAAGCCTTCTTCCTCAAGCCATGCCCACCCCACGCACATGGCTTAAAATGAAGGTCCAGTTCTTAAGAGAACAGAAGAGCAATTCGGCACCTGGGAAATCTGCAATGAAGACAACCTCGGTTTGGTTGTCCAGCGTCTTTTCAATCTCCGTCAGTTTGGTCCTCCAGGATGACAGATCAATGAGAAGAGGCTTTAGCCACGGGGTCTTCTGGAAGGGGGACCAGTGAGCTTGGACGATGTCAGTGTTTGGATCAAAGAGCCTGGGGAAAATAGGAGTGAGAGAAATACAAAATCCAGGGGAAACTGGCCCATGGATCAGTAGGAAGAACCAGTCCATCTGCCTCTTTGCCTCTTCTAAACCCATGAAGCTCCCGTATTTCCATCTATCATTTTCGTGAATAGATTATAAGCCAGGGATTATGCCAATGTATCAAATAAAACATTAATATGATCATAGGCCACCAGAAAGAGGATGTGATACAAACAACCGATAATTATTAAAAAGCAAAAAATATTAAAACAAAACTTAAAATTAAAAAACAAAAATACATTTTTAAAGAGGAGTGTGTCTGTGTGTGCATGCTAAAACTCTATGGGGAGGCGTAAAACATTAGATAAATGCAAAAACTAATGTTTATAGTTTATATATTTTATAGTATATTTTACACACACACACACACACACACACACACACACACACACACACACAGTGGTGCCAGTTGGCCTAACTTTATGTTTTAAACATTATCCAAGATTTGATCTCTGTTCCTTTTTAGAACTGAATGGGAAGCAACATCCCCATCTCTAGTCAACCCCAACCTTTTCTCATAACCTGCCCAAATTTTCAGTAATCCCAATTTTGCAACTTCTATGTTTCCACGTGACAAATTCCGAAAAGAACCCTTTGCCTGGAAGCAACATTTCTTCGAAGATTCTGGTTTTTTAAAAAAACAAATCCATGTAATAATTGGCCCAGTGTGCAGATCCGTGTGCCCGTGGGTGTCCCACTAACCTTTGCTGGAAACGATCATTGATGGAAACCCAAACATCAAAGTAGATCTCTGGTTCCGAGACATTGTAATCACGCAACAGATGACTGAGGCAAGTGGCATACTGCTTCAGCATGTCTGCATGGTCCTTCCAGCGCCGGCTCTGTGTGAAGACCTGCTCCAATATACACAGATCTCAGCTGGAAAACAGGTGCGCAGGTGGCAGAAGGAAGGGCAACAGAGGAGGGGAAAGAAAGAAGGAGGCACAGCATTGGATGGGTCATTGAGCAGAGGCTGGGGCTCAGACTTCTCAGTCCAAATCAGAAGGGTTACTTCCGATCTCAAAGGCAATCAACATACTTCACTGAGACATTTTGTCCTGACTGCTAAATGGCGTTTTTGTAGGATATGGAGCTTTGTTCCACAGGAAAGCTAGAAGGAACAAGAGTCTCAATTATAGGTTGCCCAGTCGAAAATTGTGGAGGGAGGAACAGGACATCTATTTACTCAGCCTATATTTAGATATAACTATGTATAGACTGACCAACGACTCCGTCTTCTGGGATAGGCAAATCCTCCCCCTCTTCCATCAATAGGAACATGTGCATTCTGTCACAGTCCACTGGATGGAAACTCCCAGGACGGCTCCAATTAACACACAATTGCCCTCAACCTTTATGCTGGTATGATTCTCCTTAGGATCATACAAGATGATACAACTGGCCCTCAGAAGGAAATGGCCTGACGTTTAAGCCGCCCTTCAGAAAGGGCTGTGGCCCTAGGGACCATATTGCAATCGATGCAGGACCATGGAAAAATCTCAAGACTATCAAAAGAACATCTGCCTTGCTGACTATAAGAAAGCCTTCAATTGTGTTTTGTCAAACTATGGAAACCTCCAGTAGATCAGGGGGTGCCAACAAATCTGGTGAAGTTGGAGCTTCATGTCCGTGCGCATGAGTGTTCAGGAGCTCAGACACAAAGCTCGCAGAGAAAACTTTCCCAGTTCCAGAGATTCAACTAGGAGAGATATTTTGGCCAAGATGTTTTATTTCAGACTTATCCTTATCGTCAGCAAGCCAGAGAACAAATTGGAAATACTGTAAAACTGCCCTTCTGGCATCAGCCACGAGAGAGAGAGAGAACTGGTTCTTCACTGGGCTAATTTACACTGCTCGCTCCTACAACCCATCCTTTAGGAGAACAAAATCCCTTGGGTTATATTATTATTATATGAAGGAGCTAAATAATCTGGAAAAGACTCGTTAGGAGCCCATTAAATAAAGGGAACAAAGAAGGAGTAGCAGGAGTGGAAACAAGGAAAGGAAAATCTTAACAAAGTTGTTCAATTTCTTGGATCCATGATATATACACATATATATACATACATACACACACACAAATATATATTGAGAAGGTCGGTCAGCCTTTGGATCCAAGAACGGACATAAAATTGTACCAAAAGTCACAACCTCTGCAGGCACCAATGGGAAGGTTTTCCAACCACTAAAGGAGTTGTCTCCCCAAACACAACCTTTGCCCATTTATTGCTTCTGCATAGAAAGTTGTACAGACTCCATCACACTCATAACACATGGCTGTTTTACAAATACTCATGCAGCAGGCAACCTGACATGTTGCCAACTGCTGCATGGCACAGAAGAAACATTCACACCCTTGTTTGAAGGAGTCATTGTTACGCCAGATGGTATCATTTCAGTGCCCATTGAAAGAAAGAGAAACTGACCCCAGGGTTCAAGTAGCCAACCTCCCCAGTGCGACCATCACGATAAGTAATCTTCACGTGTTGGTGGGAGCGTGAATGAACCATCATGTCCCACGAGTAGCCGTACAGCCCATTTGTCCAGTTGTTGTAGCCCTGCAGGGAGAATGGTTAAGGGGAGAGATGACATTCCCACAATGAGAAGCACCTTCTATCCTTCTATTCTTCTCATGCCTTGCAGAATCTCCAACTTCCCTTAGACTCCTTGCGGCTCCTTGGGGTACTAAAACTATATGGAACTGGGACTCAACCACGCAGCTTTGATGCAAGTTTAACTAGTGGTCTCCCACACAAGTTCAGGACCCGCCCTTGCTCTTCCGTGGCTGGAATCCTACTATGAGGAGGACACCGAAGTTTCTCTGAGGGGCTCCATTTTTTTACGTCCATTGGTGAGCTCCACCTTCTCAGGACCAGAACTATGGAAAATGTCATCATTCAAATACCACCCATTGTAAACCTTTTGTTCAAAAGCCACTTATACAAAAATACTTAGGTTCTTTCTCACCTTGGTAATAAAGTGTGAGTAAGGTAGGAAGAACTGCTCCAAGATATACAGAACAGTAAAAATGGCGCCCAGCTTCTGCCGCAGCCCCAATTTCTTAGCTGCTCCCTTGGGCCTTTGTTGTTCCATTTCCAGGTAAACACACTCCAGACTCCGCTGCGGAGGCTTGGTAAGTGGTAGAAACATTTGGAACCAGGCAGGGAAGCAGGCAATCAGTCGACGTGGCCAGTCTGGATAGCAGAAGAGTGGGCTGGTGGCCAGCATGGTGAAAGGAAACATGCCTTTGGGATGAAATGGGAGTATGATGGAAGGACAGAGTTGGGCTCTGGTCACTCAAAAGACAGATCATCTGCTGTGCATACATAAACATCTGGACACCCAGCATCTTCAGGTGTGCTCAGGAGAGACTCCTGTTGAAATTATTTCTGGTCATGCGGGCAACCCATACCAAGATTTATTTAAAACTTTTGTCAAATTCATTACCCTCCTTTCCTCCAAGGGCTTAAGGCAGAGTCTTCAGACTTGGCCACTTGAAGACTTGTGGACTTCAATTCCCAGAATTCCCCAGACAGCATCACTTACTCTCTTGTAATCCCTTCCTCTGCAATCTCTCCACTTATATCAGAGATCTTCAAACTTGGGAGAATTCTGGGAGTTGAAGTCCACAAGTCTTAAAGTTGCCAAGTTCGGGGATTCCTGGCTTAAGGCATCTCAGGTGGGCATCTCCCTACCTTTTATCCCCAAAAGACCATCTCTGTGAGGCGGACTGGGCTGAGCGCGACTGCCTCAATGACAACCACAATTCTAGGCTGAACCGAATCCGCGTCTTCTAAGTTTCAACCCAAGGCATTATCGCTACAAAAAGTGGCATTGGCTTTCCTTCAAACATACACTAAATCTGTACCAGCAAACAATGCTATATCAGATAATCCGCCTTTAACAAAAGCTTCTTTGCCTAATCTTGCAGAAGGGATCATTGTTCATTCAAGATTTTTTCAAGCTTTGGTTAACCACTCCTCACAAAAACAGACCAGAACAAAAGTCCAATCTTAACCCTTTTTAACATAATCCTTATTACTCAACACCCTCCTTTAATAAGTTCTCCTGTGGCTTCTTAAAGAAACACTTGGATCCTGCAGAACTTACCAATACTGAAAAGTTGGGAATTCATGCAGTGGAAGTAGGAGACGAAGAAAAGGGCAAAGGGACGGGTAGCATCCAGGAACAGCAGGAAGCCAGCCGTAAGGTCCAACACAAGCCCTCCGCCATGCACCACCAATAAACTGGTCAGTTCCTCTGACATCAACAATCTGAGAGACCAGAAAGAGGCCTTCATCCAAAGTTGCAACGTCCAGGAGGGAGGAAGAGGAGGGAACCGAATTCTCCGACCCACCTGTGGCTTTCTCTGCCCGATTTCCATCACTCACCTGAAAGGGCTGAAGAGCCAATGCCTCCCAAGGGAGCCCATGGAGTAGCCCTCCACCCAGTCGGCATCCAGCTTCTTGATGCCCGCGATGAAATAAACAATGAAGATCTGTTCAGAAAGAAAGGCAACAAACGTGGCACTCCGAGGCAAACTAGTTGGCAAAACTCACCAAGCAGCAGCCGGCAACTCACTAGCTGCTGTTTCCAAACCAGCTTCCAAGTTACAACGTCCTGCAATATTTCCACGGTCAATTTCACCACTCAAACTTCTTCAGCCACAAATGACACCCCCTCCCCCCCAAAAAAACCCCACAGGAGTTTGGAATGCCACACTGAAAGGCATGGGAACCAGAACTTAAAAGTAGAACTTAGAGTAACTTTGTGGTCCCTTTGAATGTCCACTGATCGGCATACATTACAATGAAATTTCATTGCACGCAGTTCTCAAAGGGTCACCTCCTCCCATATACACAACATGAACATGACAAAATAAATGAATACAGAATTACGCACATGCCCACATATATTATATGACACAGATAAACAACACAGATGGGGCAAGGATGAGACAAATGGTAAATTTCATTTCATGCTGTTCACCTCCACATTTAACCTAAAATTAAATAGTAGCTCCCAATATATGTAACAATGTATCTATTCTGTAATCTTAAACATTATAACTGGATGGCAACTCTGACAGGGCCTCTCATCAGCCTAAGAACCCAGAATCGCAGAGAGGTAGCTCTGGCTCCTTCCCTTCCTCCAGGCTTTCTCTGGGTCTACATTAGAGCTGTGGCTTCCCCATTTCCAAATGGCCTCCTGAGACTCTGGTGCCAGCATGCAATGCAGAGCAACCAACGCCAGCTGGGAGCTGTTCACTAGCCCTGTTTGCTCTTAGAGGAAACCAAGATCAAAGATGGCGCAGCTCCGGAGAATACCTGCATACGAAGAACGGTGTAATTCCACAAAGGGACATGAGCGTTTCTCTTCCGTGGATGCCAGAGACCATCAACAGACCTGAGGAAACGAAGCTCATTAGCAAGAGTAGGATCTGGAGGCAATCTTGAAAAGCAACTAACCCTCCAGTAATCTCTGGAAAAAGCTTTGGGTGAAGATCTTGAACATTGCCTCAATCATCCTCATTCTAAACAGCCCAGAATAACCAACAGGCACAAAAAATCAGGACCATTCATAAGATTGAAGAATGAAAGATCTAAATGATATATGCCTATACTCATATATTATCTGCCTAGTCAACTAAAGTTCAGCATTAAATTGGCGCCAGATAAATGTCAATGAAATTCAGGAAGGTTTGGACTTGGAGCTCTTATGGGAACATGCTTAACTCTGTCCCCAGCTCCGCCTGGTCTTCTACATTCACCTCACTGAAGCACAAAGTTTAGTAACGGTTTTGTTTTATTGAAAGTCAGTATTGGTTTTTAGGTCAAAATTAGAAGACAACAGCATTAATTTCCTCGGTCACCCAGAAAAGGTAAGAAACCACCTTTCTCCATGGTTTGAAGGTGCTCATCTACAGAATATTAGGATTTCATGCACTTAGGTTTACTTGAGATTCATCTCTAGCTCATGTGAAAATGAAGAAAAATGTGATCACAAGCTGGAAAGGCCTGCCAGGAAGATAATGCAGATACTGGGAAGAAGTCCAGTTATGGAATTAGCTGGTGGCAAGGAAAAATAAGGACAAGATGAGAATCCGGAAGGAAAATTCCCGCCATCCAATGGGAGAAAGCTTCAACTTTGAAAACCAGTTTCAGTTTCGATATAACAGAATAACAGAGTTGGGTTAGACCAGGGGTGTCAAACTCAATTTCACGGAGTGCCACATGTGGGTTGTGTTTGACCGGGGGGGGGGGGGGGTGGGGTGGCCGGAGGGGGGTGTAGCCATCTCTCCTGTGGGTGTGGGTGCCTGTAGTGGCTGGAGCACTTTGCCAGTGAAAACAGGCTCCCGAGCTCTGTTTTTGGCTGGCACAGGCTCCTGCAACCCTCTGCCAGTGAAAATGGAGCTCGGGAGGGCCACATGCAGCCCTCCCAAGCTCCATTTTCACTGG